CTGCAAAGACTCAACGTCAGCCAAGGCGAGTGAGAAAAGGAAGGGTGCGCCGCTCTACATTGTGTACAATTGCGCGTGTGAGTTCTGCATTGGCAATACCACAACTATATCAACAACACGCTCGGTGAGGTGAGCATCTACAACATATCATCGATACCAAACCCTCACGCATTATATCACCAGCAATTGCCATTTTATATTTCATTCGTATTGGATGGAAATTTGTTTGCGCTTTTGCCTAAACAAATGGTTTCGGAAAGTGCATGTTGCCGAACTTGGTCATTAATCAATCTTGTATCTCGAAGCATTGGCCCCGCGGGAGCAAAGAAAAAATCCACCTACCCGGGGGTCGATACGGGTGCGAATGTATGACACCTTGTGTTGCTGCTTGTGACCATGCGTGTATGCATTACTTTATGCGAGCGCTGCTCAAAACCGTTTCAACCCCATTGCTCTTCGGAGGAGAAAAGAGGTGTGCGTCTCCAGATGTAAGTTGTGTGGATTTGCATTTCATATTATATGAGTGATGAAGCGTTTGATTATACTTGATGAGTTTTACAATTTGGAGATACATTTTTTGCAACAAATATTGCAATGCACTTGCTTTCACAATTGGAATACAATTGATTAAAATCAAGTTTTTTTTCCAATTCTTTAATTAAAAAACGTTCTCAAAGTTTCTTACCTTTTCATTGCAGATTTCGGTTACGACATAAAGCACCATTCAGGCGGTTCACAATTTTGTTAATTGTCCACGGCAACGGCACTGACGTGCTTAAAAGCGGCGGGAAGGTCACCGACAAACTGCTGACAAGAACTGTCTCTGCCAAGGGGTTGTTGGCAGGCGGGCAAAGACTGCCCAGGGCTGGCCCAGGGCCGGCAAGGGTTTGCCAAAAGCTGGAAACAGCTGACAAGCTGAACAGTTGCAGCAGCTGCCACTTGACACTTCATTTCGAAATCAAAACCCCGAACTCGAAAGGAAAAATTTTCGCCGGTGCTGCGAAGCCTTTCCGGAACAAGCCGCATTGTTTTGTCATGTGCATCCGGAAGGCGTAGGTGCTCAGGCCGGATGGGGGTTGTGTGGTGTGGTGCAAGTTAGGGAAAACATCATCGTGCTGTAGATCAGGCAGATGAGCTTGGAACAGAAGTTCCATGAAGTCGCTAGCCGAGATGTTGTGTGTCAGTCTGGGCTGGTGAATGTAAGCCTTGCTTCAGGCAGTGGACAGTGTCTTCAAAAAATGGACAACATTGGCCTTGGCGACAGATCAAGGCCACGAAGGTGGTTGTTTAGTTACGGAGCATGGCAATGAGCATCTCATCACTTTCGTTTAAAAGGTTCATACACTGCCTATGCGATGCCCCATCGTGAGCATTGAGTTCAGGGCGTGTTCACGCAGCAAGATCACATTCTCTGTCGTGCTCTCCATGATACCATGAAGGCTGGGGTGGCCGCGACTCGCATGCCAAAGGGAGGCAGCTGCAGGCTGGCGCCGTCCATGCAATCGACACCATCAGGGTGTAAGCTCAGCACCTTTTGTATTGTTATCTTCGGTAAGCCATGGACCGAGGGGGACGTCATTGACTATCTGGCCAACGCTTCAAGGCTTCTGGTAACGAAGTTTCGGAATCCGTTGAGCTTGCCCGGCGGTTTGAAATCCACCAGGAAGAAGAATCCTCCGAGTTGGCAGAATCCTGGTGATGTGCAGGACGACACGAGCTACTAGCTGACAGCGGTGCGCGATACGTGTGGGAGTGAGTGTTTCGATTCGCTCAGAAATCATGAGCAAAGGACCTGGCCTACTTCCTGTATTTGCGGATGGACGAGTTGTTCAACACGGAAACCGACGACGGTAGCGACAGAGAAGTTGCAACTCTGTGCCGAAGGCTTAGACGACTGACTTCGACCTGAAGATTGGCTTTGTTTGGTGCTCTTGATGCTGGTGTCTACGCAGGTCTACGCCTCTGGAACACCTGCCACGCCGGAGACGCAAGTTTTGCGGACGAAGTCCTGCAGGCCGAAACGTTTCCGGGGGGGCTTCTTGCTGTTCTTTCCAAGAGTTGCAATGCTGGATTTTTACGCTGTTTGTGATCCCTTCTTGGCTCTGCGTGAAGGCTTGCCGAACCCAAGCTCCACAAGACCTTTCCAAAAGCCAAGGGTCCGAGCGTTTGGACCCGAGCTCGTGTTGCGGTGCCGTGTGGCCCCATTAGCATGGCGGCGCGCCTCGTCTGAGGCATTGAGTATGCGACAGAAGAAGATGAGCTGCTAGACAAGCTGGAAGGAATGGAGGTTGAGGCAGAGAGGCAGAGGTGATGCAACCTTAAGCCTAAGCATGTGACAGTGCAGGAAGGCGACGAAGGTTCTGACATTGAAGTCCAGGACCGCTTTGCGGGAAGTTGTTCCGACTTGAACTCCTCTCGTGCGGGCGGTTAGCGAGGAAGCTGACAGTGTCCTAGAGCTTGCAGACGAAGCCTTGTTCACTCCTTAGCCACTCCGTGCATGTGGGCCTGTTGTGTGAGTGAGCACAGCATGCTGCTTGCGCAACGAGGCATCGAGGCAAAGGCTATGGGACCAGCAAGCCCAAAGAGGTGGAACCTGTAGTCGACGAAGATGGCTTCACTGCCGTCGTCAAAGGACGGCGCAGGCCACGCTAGCAAGGCCAAAAGTGGCATGCAGCGCTGTTGCTTCGATTGGATCCCAGAAGCTGCTTAATTTGCTGCCCACTCCTCACCGCCATAGCAGATGACTTGGGAAAGATTTGCATGCCCGCAGACCACTCAGATCTTGACAGGACGCTGTTTCGTCAGTCGATGCAGGCGTCGAGTAGTATGATGCTCCGAAGTCGCCGCAGGCCAGTACATAGTTCCCTGCTCTTGTAGATATGACTGGAAGCCCAGACTGCAGACGAGTTGTTTAGAAAGCCTATGAAGACCTCGCCATGCCGCCTCGCCGTCGGCCAGATGTTCAGTTCGAGCCCGAAGACTGCACGGTGTGAGAGTCTGCGAGAAGGTCCAGAGCCTTGGTCCCGTGTCTTTCCTTGAGTGCCCAGATTCTTCACGCGCATGTTGCTGGCTTTCCTTACTACCAGAGCTCGCAGACGACGACAGTTGTTACCGGGCACTCGAAGCAAGCACTCCAACAGAACTCAAATGCCTGTGAGACTGGGTCATAATGTGATAGATAGCAATAACAGCGACAGAGACATGTCAGACCCGTAAGCCCAAAAGCCGCATCACAGCATGAAAAGCTAGTGCATTTACGATGTACCTTAAGCTGTGATTTCAACATCACAACCATTAAAAGTCAGTGCGACGAAGCCCTTCTACGATGGCCGTTCCGTGGGCATCGTGTGGCCTTCCATTGATTCGCATCCAGTCGCTGTGTGTTTTTGAGTTGGCCCTGTAAAATGGCCTTCTTCAGGATGTGCTGTGGGGACTTGGCTCCGCCGTCCCCTAGACACGCACACGCCAGAACAACTCCGACTCCTTTAACGGCTGATCCGTTCTGGAGCCCGAAGTGGTGCCTGTGCTCTGATCCTGTGGATGAGGTGCAACACCAAGACATCTCCAAACCCGATGTTTGCACAGACCCTGAGGGTAAAGGTACACCACGCAGAATGGTGACGGCAGGAGACTATCGAACCGAACAGTCGTATCACACTGTCAACACTTCAAGGAGCAAGCCCAAGGTGAACACATGTCAGTCCAGACGAAGCTCAGAGTCGCTAAACGTTTTGGCCATCTTTGAGCATGCTGGAGAGTGGTGGTTACCCCATGAAAGTGCCTCTGTGGAAGACTGTGACCTGCTGCAGGAGTCGTGGCTTGGAAGACTCCCCAGGAAAAGCTACCGGAACATGAGCACGACGGCCTTGCTGAAGACTGGGATGAGCGGCTGGGTAAGACGCAGAGTCTCCGGAAGCCGACATCGCTTTATGGAAAACGGCTTCGACTTGGACCTGGCCTACGTCACGTCCCGTTTGATTGCCATGGGCTTCCCGGGCCGAGGCTCTGGAGCATGTTTTCGGAATCCGCACAGCGAGGTGAAGCGCTTTCTCGAAGGTGCCCACAGCGGCCACTTCCGTATTTACAACCTCTGTGCCGAAAGACACTTTCGGGACAATGGTTTCCCCAGAGAGACGAAGGCTTTTCCCTCCGCTGATCACTGCCCACCCGATTTCGCCGACATGTTGGATTTCTGCAGAGATGTGGAGTCCTGGCTGCAGGCAGACGAGCAGAATGTAGCGGTTATCCACTGCAAGGCTGGCAAGGGACGCAGCGGCACCATGATCTGCGCACTGTTGTTGTATTCAGGGGCTGTGACAGCTGCTCGGGATGCCTTGCGCTGGTTTGGTCGCATACGAGGCGGCACGCGGGTTGGTGTGACAATACCTTCGCAGATTCGATGGATTGCCATGTTCGAGATCTGGCTTCAGGGCTCCGTTCAACTCACGAGCACACCAGTGAACGCGGAAGCACTCAAGTATCGACTGAAAGCGCTGCGCATCGGACCTCTGCGATCGGCAATGTTCAGTAGTGGTGGCTGCTTTCTGCAAATTGGCCTTGGGAGCCGCAAAGCTCTGGAGGGTTTTAAGTGGGTACATTGGCACCCGACCTTTCGGGCAGAGTTGTCCCCGAATGGAGTTTGTGAGTGTCAGCTGGCAGAGAGCCTATGGTGGACTGAAGCGGACGGCCTCGTGTGCGTTCGATTGAAGACATCGAAGTCGTGCTTCGCCGTCACTTCCCGTTCGCACAGCATTCGGGCCTGGTGGCATCACTCCTTCTTGCAGCGGAAGATCAATCAGGGTGCAGAGGAGCTTGTGCTGGACCTGCCCAAGACGTGCATCGATGGCTTACAGCGAGATGCTGTCGATCATGTCGTCGCACCAGCTGAGTTTCGGCTGACCTTAAATTTTGAAACGGAGGATTGACCAAGTTGCATCTGACTTCACGAAGAGGAAGACATGCATGATGTCTAGAATGTGCAGTGACATCTACTGCCGATATATCACATAAACAGGAATTGTTAGAATCCTAGGTCCATGTTGTACAGGTCGTAGCGCTTCTTGACAGCATGCTCTGGGCAAGATGTTCCTGTAATATGTTCGGGCGGCAGGTGTTTCATTTTCAGCTATGACTTTGACTTTGGCCCGACATGCAGAGCTGTCCACGTCCTTTCCCTTTCTGGCTGAGCCAAGCGGAAATTGGACTACCGGCTGCCACAAGCTCAGCCCAAACTTCGCGTGCAAAAGGCACTCTGGTATCCTCAGAGAGCAAGAGAGACTGGTCTGCGGCTGGCAGTCTGACGCGCTATGTGCTGGTGCAAAGGTCTCAAGGCTGGCAGCAATGGTGGGTACTAGCACCTGCCCGTGAGCTGGACCCCGTGATTCCGGTGTGTGTGGCAGGGAGGCCTGTGATAATACCAAGACCTGAGTGTGTTTCGTTGCTTGACGGAGTTGGCCAGGCCATCGCAATATTCCGCCAGTGCATATTTCCGAAGGCTGCTTGAATTGCATCCGTGCTATGTTCCCGACACAGAGGAGCTTTCTGCAGGAAATTTGTGGCACTATTTCGTGAGTCATCTCCGAAATGCTTCTCGCAACGGAGACCGCCAGCAAGGCACCGTGTTCTTTTTGTTCGGGGTCCAGGCCCAGGGTCCTCTCTTCCATCTGCTTTGCGGGACAAATGCCCCGAAGGTATTGCCAGGAGTCAGCATCCGTCACATCCAGGGCCACGCAGGCGTGGCCAAGCCAGGAGTTCTCCAAGATGGACGAGGCTGACTGGGCCTATCCGAGCGTGTAGTGTAGCTTTTCCCTAGCGTTGCGGGCTGCCAGGAGCGGAGGCAGTCACCGATTCGCGGCTCTCTGCAGCACGACGAGGTGCTTGTTTCGCTGGGAGGAGCTCACATGACACGCTCTGGCATTCTCTTCGGCTGTGTGCCCAGGGTATGGCCCTTGCAGTTCAATCTATCCACAGACTCAGAGCTTCTGGCGGAAACCGGCGAGGTGCAACTTGGCCATGAAGCGGTTCAAACCTGGTGCTTCTGAGGGCTTCAGCTTGAGTGCAGGAGTTGTGGGTGCCGGCATGCCGACTCGCAAGGAGCAGTCGGAGACTGTGAGTTCGCAGAAGCCACGTGTTCGTGAGGACCAGGGTCAGGTTGGAAGGAAGTGAAGGACGAGGCAAAGTGCGAGCGACTGGTCGTACTGCTTCCTTAAGCAATCACGTGCGAGAATTGATTCATTGATCTTGTGTGCCATTTCAGGTGAAGCACTCGGCAGCACTGAGTGCTTGTCGTCAGCGAAACCCAAAAGGCTCATCGGGAACACAGGCGGATCGACAGCCGAACTCAAAGCAGTTGCCTGTGGTTCGAAAAGCTTTTCAATGGTCTGTGCAATCAGAGTACCGGCAAATGCACCTGTGAGCTTGCTGCGGCTTGTCCGGAAATCTTATGTGCTTTCATTCACTGTGTAGCTGTGACACTTCACGGCTGTCTCGGGTTCAAGTGGAAGCTTACTTACTATCTTTACCCATTGAAGCCCTAGCTAAGATCCAGCAGCGCTTCAACACGACTGCCTTGAAGGTCCAAACGGCCCCAAGATGTGCAGCAGACTCTAGAAGTCCGAATAGCCTTGAGCCGAACTCTTGCGGCCTGATGACATCAATGACGTCCCGCCGGTCTATTCCGCGACATGGTTGACGTCGCTGTGCCGCCGGAGATACCGCTGCAACTTGCCCCAACTTCTGTTGTTTGGGAGTGAGACAGTGCAAGACAGTGCGAGTAAGAAGATTTGGGACTGAGTTCCCGACAAGACATGCCTTTCCGTCCTCGCAGTTCCAACTTTACGTGGCATCCCCGTTGCCCAGGAAAATACTCAATGTCTTCACCGATCAAGACGGTGACATTCGAGTCAAAGAAGACAACCTCCGAGAAGTGCTTAGGCTCGAGTCCTCCTGTGCTGGAACGTGCAAGCCGCACCAGCGTTGTGTGTATTCTTCGGGAATGTCTGCTATTGTGGTGCTGCTCGTGACTTGCACAGTCGCTTTCGCAACTACAGCCGCGACATCACCGTCCAGGCAGGTTTCACACAGTCTGTGAGATCTCGAGGCCAGCACTTTATCAATACTCCAGGCCCCAGCATGTGTCAGCCACGTGTCGAGGAAACATGGGGTCACAAAACCGGTGTGGCTACGCACCACTGCAAGATAGGTCAAGCCGTGTCTAGCTTTGTGTCCGTTTGGAAGAAATTGCCAAGCTTTTTGGCTGACATCCAGGTGCCAGGATGAGCCCCAAACAAGGGACACCAGTTTCCACTCGACTTAGAAACCGGGAAACCGTGTCCGACCGGTCCATCCGGTGCCCGCTGCCGCAGGTCCTGAGCACTCTTCGCAATGAGCTGGCAGACCAGGCCGATGCGTGAATTGGAACCGGGGGAGGTCTGAGCTCTACTAGAACCACAATATGTCTGAGGTCGGCGCTGTCAGGGACAACGCAGAGCTGGCTCGGGCGCAGCTCGCCGAGGCCCGTGGTCATGGCGCCTACAAAGCAGCTGCAACGGATGCTCTGCGGTGCAGGACCTGCACAACGACCTCGCCACGAAAAAGGTGCTGGCAGAGGTCGAGGTCTGTCTTTAAGCCCGCACATGACTGTCGGCTACTGGTACCTGTGAATCCGTGCAGAGGAACTCGCGCAGGGCGCACATGCCAAAGCAGATGTGCTTGGTGTGCAGCTGAAATCCATGGATGGCAGGCCTGGAAAATCCCAAAACGCAAGGGCGAGAGCCGGGTGAAAGTCGGGCCCTGCTCTCACAGGCTCCGTCAAATCGCTGCAACCGTGGCCAATCAGGTGCCCCTCTGCACACGTCCACGCATGTCCGTGCTCTTGCCTTCTGCAGGCTCAGACGTCAGGGTCCGATGACCTGGCCATGACAGCCCCCGCCGTCATGAGCTCTTCAACGCTGAGCGTGGAGAGGGAGCCGAGCGAAACCTTTGCCGGACTTTCGGCGCCGGCCCGCGGGGCGACCTTCTCGCCGAAGTCCGAAGCTGGAACTGTCAATCGAACCTTCTCGGCTCGTTCCGGTACACAAGCACCAGAACCAGTGCGAGATGCAGCTAGCAAAGCCGACGTCGAGGCTCTGCTGTCTTCCCAGGCTCGGGCATGAATGGCACGAGATGTTCACGTGGTGTTCACTCTGACCAAAGTCTCTCTGAGGAGGCTCTGTGGAAGGAGGCCGTGGCTGCGGTGAAAGAGGAGGTCGCAGACCTCGCAGCCAAGCAGAAGGATCTGGAAACGTCCCTGCAAACTTCCGCCACCAGCTCGGACCTGGAGGCCGGCAGTCCCCGGAGGCCCACGGCCGCTCTGGAGCGCATGCGACGAGTCTCTTGAGGCCCTCCGTGATATCCAGAAGGTGGCAGACGAGCAGTTGTCGCAAGTCCGACTGGAGATCAGCGAGGTGTGGGATGTGGATGTTGACACGTTTATTGGGAGCTTTATCCCCGTGGGCATGAGAGCAGGAGCTTGCAGAGATCCAGCGGTTGGCCCTGCAGACCTACGAGGATGGTGCCTCCTCCATGACGAGCTGCGATCTCAGGCGCTGGGAAAGTGCCTTCTGGATTTTGGCTGTCGTTAGGCCGCCTGGACTCGGACAAGCACGAGATCGAGGGCAGCTGCATCCTGAGCAACCCGTCTGTAGGCTTGCCGAGCCTCTCCCTTGTTGTGGCTCTTGTCAGAGGCTGCATTTGGGTTCTTCAACTCACCGGAGAAAGCATAGAGGAACCACGAAGCATTTTTCGGCTCGAAGAGGCAAAGGGTCTAGAGCTCGTTTCAGGAATTTTCTGCCTCGGGATGGGAGCCCAACTCCAGGCTGGCGAATCGATGATGGGAAAGTCGGAGTCGCCTCCGTTTTGCTCTCTCACTCTCTCTCTCTCTCTCTCTCCTCTCCCTCGTGGTCTCCCTTTCTCGCGGCTTGCTGCAGGCCTGTGGCCGAATCTGTTGGAGTGATGTGGTGCCGAAGACCGACGCGCACTCCTCAAAAAGCAGCAGCTCGCCACCGGCCGGGGGCTGATCAGTTGGAGGGGTTTGGGGTTGAAAGTTAAAACCTTGAGTCATCTGCTTTGGGATGTCTGCCAGGAGTTGGATGAGTGGGCGAGGACGGCCCGGGTGAAGGGCACTCCGGTGATGGACGAAGGCTTCATATGCATGGGCAGCAAAGCTCCGGTCTGCCCGCCGCAAGCCAAGCAAGTTCCAGCAGGCCAGTTGCCGAACACGCTTGCGCTATCATGATTGTCAATCTCTTGCGCCGCAGGGCAGGGGCTAATGCTGTCTCCATGTCCTCTGTTCCTCTTCTCCGCAGCTGTGGTGTTCCATAAGACTAGCGAGATGCATCCCACACCTTAGTGGTCTTCGCGACTCTGAACAGGCCCCATCACTCTGGCGACTTTGCAGGGATCGTGGCTGGGCTCGGGTGGTGCCTTGCAGAGGATACAGCTTGGGATATGCCAAGTGTGTCGTGTGTTGCAAATGCACGGTGCTGATCACCTCGTCAAGGTGCCAAGATTTTCGTCATCGGCACTGATGTCAGCATCAATGGCTTGCCCCTCAAGGCCGTTGAATCAGAGAGAGAGAGAGAGACAAATCGAGCACACCTGTATGCCTCCTTGGCACGTAATTGGTTGCTTCTAGAAGAGACGGTGGCCTAGATGGAGAAGGGTGACAAGACTGCTGCTTTCATTTGCCGTGCTTTGCCAGGCTCACAAAGTGGAGCTGAATGACGACGGCGTTGTGGTCAGCATCGGCAAGCTGTGGCAGCTACAGGACTGACTTTCGCTAGACTGACTTTTGCTAGCTGATACATGTTCGCAGTGGCGCGACATGTCGAAGCCAGAGACGTTATGACATTTGGCTCAGGGTCCAAGTTGTGCATGACATCGTGTGTGCCTGCATCCGTCCATTCATGCGTGTTAGTTCCAGCTCTTGAGACACCAAGCCCAGCCGAACACTGTCGGTGCCCTTAAGAAAGCCGTGGGAGGCTGCGCACTAAGGTCAAAGCAAGGAGAAACATACAGTAGGCGAAGAGGCATGAAGAGCAGGCGATGCTAGATTTAGAGAAGTAGAACGAGTAGGGCTCTTGGGCTCACGCCGGGATTCGCCTTCAGTGCAGGGCTGGGCTCCAAACGGCGGCCTCGAGTTCCGGGCATCTTCTACTCAGGAAAACATGGAGAAGCTCGGCGAACCCATGACTCCTAATTATTTTGGTAGGGTTTCGGGGAGCTCCTGGTACGGCCAAGGTCTGCGCGCTCCGAGCTTTGGACACGCACGGCGGCAACATCGGCCGAGGTGTGCGGACCTTGGGACGGCTGGCAGAGCTGTGCCCAGTGGAGCCGTGCGTGCATTGCTCTTCAAACCGTAGGGATGGAGGCCCAGGTGCAGGACATCAGTAAGAGAACGTCCCTAGCGTAGTTTCATCAAAAGGTCAGAAAAGATGAAGCTCCTCGGCTATGCCGGGAGTGCGGCTGCTCACCAGAAATTCAGCTTTCAACTTGGGGTCCGGGTGTCTGGAAGCTTGCTGGGATCCGGTCGGTGAGTGCAGCCCGAGGCAGATCCTCTAAAACGTGGAGTCGAAGGCTGCATGCCGGGGACCTCTGGGGCTGAGATGCCAAGAGGCTACAACTCGAAGAAGGATGCCGAGGAGGCACCAAGCGGCCCAGGGTTATTTGCCATGAGAGGATATGAGCCATGCCTCTTGTCTGTCTTTCCTGCGAACCGAAGTGAAGGTGTCTCTGCTGTGTGCGCTGGTCAGCCAATGGCGCGAGTGTGCCTGACAGATTAGCCGAACGCCACAGCAGAGATGCCTCCGTCAGCATGAGATGCGCGCTGAGAAGCTGCCTGTGTCATGGCAGGCCGACAACCTGCAAAGTGCTGCCACGTCTGGTGATCCCAGACTTCACGAACCGCCGCTCGAAGAGAAAAGCAAAGGCGCTCCCTCAGCTCAGTGCATTCCGAGTGCATCTCAGGGGCTCAAACCGGCCTTGGTGTCGAGTTGCTACACTACGTGGCAACATCCATAAGGTGGGAGGGGTCTCACCTTGCGAAAGGGGGAGCATGGTCTCCGAAAGGCAGAGAGGGTTCCAAAAGCGATCCGGTCGTCAGGGCTTGAGCCTCAGTACTCCGATTGCGAGCTGCCGCTGCCCTCCTGGTCGCAAGAGAAGGCCATGACATTCCCGTGCTGGTGCGGGAACCGGCTGGCTCCGACTCCAAGGCTGTGCGATCGCAGGTTTCTGCACATTGCGCGTCTGCCTGGATTCGAAGTCGCGGTGAGCTGCATGCCTGAAGGATGTTTTGGAGTCTTTCCATTTCTCAACCCTCAGCACCAGGCAAGTCTTGAATGTGCAACGACGCCGTGCAGCAGGCAGAAGCTCTTCGAGTCTGGCGGGCACGCGTGGCAGACGAGGAGGCCGCTTGAAAGATTACCGGGTCGGTCTTGGTGTATGCTCAGATGTCAGGGGTTTCCTCCTGTTCGAGTACGAGATGACGAGGAGATGTTCACATCATTGGGCAATGGCCATTTTTTCCAGGCGGCCTGCCCGCGTTGAAGCGTCGATTAGGCAGGTAGTTGTCTCTGCCACAGGCATGCCTACCTGCACCGCAAGAGTTTGTGTTGAGGCACTCAATCTTTTCCAGACGGAGTGGAAAGCCATCAATGACGATGCGCATTACTCCGTCGGGTCTGACAGCTTGCTGGAGGAGGCTCTCAAAGAAGGACGGGAAAAGACTTCGTGTGCATGTGTGTGCGGAGGGGGCCAGTCGATGTAGCGACTGGCTCTCGATCCTTGCTCAAGGCGTTGCGAGCGTCATCCTGCGGCACTCCACTCCTCGCCCTGTCCGAGCCAAGATTGCGGAGCTTCTCAATGCCAAGCGCGAGCGGTCTGGCCTGCAAGCGATACAGTAGCGAGCCGGCGGGGCCGGCGGGGCCGGCTTTCTGCCTTCTTGAGCTGAGGTTCCAATGGACGCTGAACGAAGATGGCACGGTGGATACTGGGAGCTCACTGGAGAACACGGACTATTGCTCCCAGTTCGAGTGGTTGAGCAAGGGAATGGATGCGGAGCAGGCTCGGGGGACCGATAGAACCTGAAGGAGTGGAGTTTTTTGCCCGCTTGCTTCAAAACCCTGCAGGTCAACTGCCTGGTCAGGACCCACCTTGGAATCAAGGACAGCAAGCGAATCCAGGGCTGAAGTCTGATTCCGTTTTTACATGCTTGCTTTTCCAGCGGTCAGGTGTGCTTCGTGCCAGCTTTTAAACCCACTGGCACCATTTTAAGAAGTACAGTGGCGCCCTGCTTTCTAGCAGCATGTCTCTGTGCAGAGGGACAGCGGAGGACCGTAAAAAACGCAGGCGCCACGGCGCTAGCGAGTTACCTGAGTTGTGTACTCGCAGTGTCTTATTGACTTGAGCACTCACGGAGTGCTCGTGCCGAGGCTTGGAAGCCCTGCGAGAGCGGACTGTAGCCCTTGAGGCCTCGAGTGGGGCTGGACCTGTGGGACTTCGCAAAGCAACCTGTCTGAGGTCAGAGACGCTCCGCTGCTCTCTTCTTCTTTGTCAAAGCTCGAAAACGGTTGTCTTACCCCGCTATGGATGCTGGTGACGGTGACGATTCTTACTACGACGACCGCGGTGGTATTAGTTTGCCGCGATTACTCCCAAGTCCATTTGCTGTTCTTAGCAATCAGGACGATTCAACCTGTCCAGCTATGTCTCTTCGCTCTTTTGCACAGCTTCCACCGGGCGCGAACTGTCCCCACCCACAGCCGCAAGAGTTGAGCCCAAAAGAACGCCGTGGCGAGGCTCTCAGCTCGATCGAGCATCAGCGCTTGGAGTCAGCGCTGCGTGCCACAGGCCCGTTCTCTTCTAGATCGATCGGTATGGCTGTGTGACTCATGTTTAGGGCTTAGGGTTTCATATGCCCTTAACGGCAACGAGTACGTAAATACACCATGCGTGTTCATCGAACCCGGTTCATGGGTCCGACAAGAAACTAGATCGGCTTGAGAATCGGAAAAACACTTGTCCCTTTGGCTGTTTGCGCGTGGCGGTGCAAAAACCGACATGAGTCAATCAGATGGTGTCCATTCTCAGGGCACAGGAATGGCCGCGAACCGAACTTACTTTTTGCGGCCACATTGACACATCTTCAACCACTGCTCCAGTGGCACCTCATTGCGCCACAATGGCTCCGTTGCCCACTGGCTTGAAGAAAGCCACCGCGAACTAATGCACGCCCAGGCTACTAAGTCGCAGTCTGACCAGGTTAGAAGTCGCAGTCCGAAATACGTCATTGTATTGCGCCCCCATGTTAGAGCCCCTCATCACAGGAGTGATGTAGTCAGTTAAAAGATATGCAGACTTCCAGGCTACAATTGGCTTTGCTTGGCTTTGGGGGGCTCAGGTTGGAGGGGTATGGGTTTTTGGTTTGCTTTTGCAGCTGTTGTGCAGTCCTTTGGGGTTTAGGGGCCCAGGATCTATGCATGCGAAGTGTGCGATTAGGGGTTTAGGTTGTCGGCTTGTTTCGGTTTACGACCACGGCGGCTTTTGTGCTTGATTTGTGTCACGGCTTTGCCTTTTCAAAAAGATCCGATCGCCCCGATACTTTTCAAGCAGTGGCAGTTCCACTTTGCGACGGCGCTTGTGTGAACATCGCACCGGTGCGATCTTGCCGGTGCTACTCGGACACGAGTTTCGACGGTTCGGAGACATTTGGTGCCGCGCAATGCTTTTGCCTTCAAGTGGTCTGTACGTGATGCAGCCACGCTGGTAATGAGCCTTCCCTTCTCACGTAGGACATTGCTCGCCTCTGAAATCTGCGCCAGACGATCGTTTGTCGTCCGTGGAAGAGGGCCTGCGGTTGGCCAACGTCCAGCAGGCCGTGAGTGCGCTCACAGTGCATCAGTCATCAAGTCAGGGGACATGTCTCATCCTCGTAGCAGCACCCTGCCTCGCACCTCGCAGATGCAAGAGTACCTGGCGCAGCTTGCGGCCGACATCGCCGCGCTGGCGCAGACGACGGGTCAGAAAGCCGAAGGTGGGGGAGCCGATTCGCAAAGAAGAGAGAGATCGCAGACAAAAAAAAGAGAGGCAACTCCAACTCCCCACCACGGCCCTGAGGAAAGAGAGCGCGAGAGAGCGTGGCTGCGGCTCTTCTTCTGTCTCGTCTCCGGAGCCGAAGCCGAGGCTCCGAGGTCGCGCGGGCCGCCGCGCAGCTGGAAGAGACGAGCGCCAAAGTCGCAGAGGCAAAAGCGAGCAAAGAGAGCAAAGAGGGCGTTTGCGTTTGCAATAAACGGGGACCGCTACTGCAAGTGCAGTATCACGCGCCTGGCAGATGGGCCTGCGGCTCTCGTCTGCGCTCCAGCGCGTCTGGCCGCATCTCGAAAGACTGGATGACAGGGCCCGTGCCCTGGAAGAGACCGAGGGGTCCCCCTTTGCTTTGACTGTCGGACTTCTGAGGCTCTCAAGCTGGAGGCCCTACGCATGCGCAGTTTCTGGTCTTTCTTCGACTTGGCTACTTTGGGCTTCCTTCCTCGTCGGATTGGCATTCCAAGCTCTGCATATAGCTTAGCAGCTGGCAGAAAAGTGGGGCGGGGACGACGGAGAATACAGCCTGGGCTTGAAGCAGCCACTTCCGAAGCAAGCTCCTGGGGCTCTTCTTAGCACGCATGGAGTGAAGACGAGTACCGCGCACAGCTGCAAATGAAGTCGCTAGAGCAAGGGATTCCCAGTCCTTGTCCTCTTTGCCAGAGCCACCGAGCAGTTCAACCTTGATTGTCATTGATTGTGGTTGTGTGAAAACCCGGGGGGGCTTTTGGCTGAGTAGTACCAGCGTCTCTTGTCAGCTGCAGGGCTGGAGTCGAGAGGCCGTGAAGGAGCTCAAGGCGGAACTTGCGTTGAAGCGAGGCTTCGGACGATTTCGATTTCCGTCCTTAATGGCTCGTGCTTTGCTGGTACCAGTAGGAAATGTCAGAGATTAGGATGAAGCTCAAGATGTGATGGCATTCTTCCTGCCGCTTCTGCTGCTGTGGTTAATGTTGGTGGTGCTTCTCCCGCTACTACTACTACTACTACTGCTGCTGCTGCTGCTGCTACTACTACTACTACTACTATCACTACTACTGGATTGTTGCGATACTCAGGCTAGCAGTAACCAAAGCGATCAACATGCAACCACGTCAGAGAAGTACCAACAGTTACGACAGCAAAGGCGCTTGCGACAGCTAACGGCAAGACACCTGACCACAGCTAGAAGATTGAATTTCGTAGCCGACATTTAAAATAATGGCTCTGCCCGGTGAAGAGCATGAAGAGCTCAGCCACGAACTGCGACTGAGCATCTTTGCTGTTGGCAGGTCCTGCGGAGCGTGGACTCGGAGCTCGCGCTTCGGCTCGACAGGCTGGCCGACGAGGCTGGGATGGGCCAACTAAAACAAACAGGAGGTTCCTCGATACACCTCAACCTGGAGGTCCAGGAAGTCGTCGGTTCCAGCGAGGAGAAGTGGCAGGCAGCAGAGCCAGCAACGTTGTGAAGGCCTTTTTTTGCGCGGCGCAGGCCCTGGAGCGATGCTTGCGGGCACAAGCCACTTCGGCAGAGCAGAAGGCGGGAGCTGAACGTCAAGACGTCGACGTCTCGCACTTCCACGTTACGTTCAGGATGTTGCGGCGACAGAGCTCATCACGACATTGGAGGACCCCGTCTCGGCACAGCTTGCGACGGCCTGCTGTGAGTTTTGTTTGCTGTCGGGGAAGGAGCGACTGGAAACCCTTGAGATGGATTTGGAGAGGGAGACCCGGCGAGCTAAGGAGAAGGCTGTGTCCGTGTATCCAGTCCACATGCGTCAGAGGGTCATTACATCCCCGCAGGTGGAGGAGTCCATCCACGATTTCAGTGACAAGATCTGCGCCTTCGAGGAGGTTCTTTCCACGTTCTTTCCACGGCAGTCACGGATTCTGATGCTGTGACTTTGCATGACAAGACGATCAAAGACAAAGAGCAAGCAGTTCATTTTGGCGCACGGCGCCACTCCCAGCACTGCACGAATCTTTCGTTCGCGTCTTCACCAACCGTCGCAAGTTTCCGGTCCAGTAGCACCAGGTGCTTATCTTGTAATCGCACCTTCGACGACGTGGTCAAAACACCAGGACTGCTGTATCTTGCAATGTGAAGCGTGGTTCTTCTTTTGCCGGACCTCCAGGAAGTGTGAATCTTCCCGCAGAGAAGCGTCGGGCACAGGCCGTGGGGTATCGTGTGGGTAGGATCGGAGATGTCCAAGTCACAAGAGCTGGCATTTCGGACCGTCCTAGCGTCTTAGTGTGTCTACGGACGTGGTGAGAAACTGCACAGAGATCCTTGCAGACATGTTGAAACGGCAGTCTGCAAGAGAGAGCAGGCCGTGCTCTTGTATGCGGCACTTGGGCATGAGTGAATGGAGAGGTTTTCGCGGAGATTCAGAGGGCTCTGCACACTCCCAGGCCAGAGTCTCGGAAAGTTGTGGGGTTTAGCTGCGTGAGCCGCGCGTGAACTTGCCGAACCGTCCATTTCGGACCACAGACCGAAGCACGGCTGTACTGTTTTGCATTTTTGGCTACGTTTGGAGTTATGGCATAGGAATTCTTTCGCCGAGATTGACCTGCCCAGGACTGATCCGGAGACCATCAAACTGTTGGCTGTCAAGGCATGAGCACCTGAAGCTCATGGTTCAAGAAAAAGGTATGCAGTATGCAGTATGCGGTTTGGGGTTGTGCAATCATAACAGCAGGGCTAGTGTGACCAAGTCGCTCGTTGACCATGTAGCTCCACCGTACCGATGAAGGTCGCAGTTTGTGGCACGAGCTGTGAGTACTTTCTCCGACACTAGCAGCAGCTTCGATGAGATCACCCTCAATATCGCGTGGTGGTTCCACTTCGAGGATCTTTGAGGTACCCCAACTCTTGAACCTCTTATCGCTTCGCATGCCAGGTGGGAAGACCGACTGCGGTTACTGCGAAGCAAAGTTCTGCCTCGCTCGCCTGGTTGGTGACTACTAAACTTGCAAGAAATGTCACGCGTTCAAGTGTCTGAAGCCGAGGTTGTCTGCGGTTGTCTCATCTTGTGCCCATATCTCCACGACTTCTCTCGTTAGCGGCTTTTCCGAATGCCAGTACGCCAGCCGCAACGGGGACTCTTTAGCCAACGGCCTTGAGGCAGCAACGTGCTGCAGTTCACAGTCGCAGCATCTGGGAACGTGTTGTGTCGATATGTCAAGAGAGGATGTGCAGCTCATCCCTGTCCGCACCACCTCTTTGAGCCGATCAGTGCCGCCGAGCCGGTCGCAGTGCTCTCCGAGACCGCCCGGGAACCTGGCAAATCTTTGTTCGACCTGCCGCGAGGCTACCAGAAATGGAGCTGAGGCCCTCCAAAACCTCCGCGTCGAACGTGCGTCCACAGAGCTGGCACCTGAGAGAGGAATCTTGCGAAGTCGGTGCGTGCGCAGCAGCAGCAGATAGCAACAGTCTAACCTGAAAGCTAACCTGAAAGCTACGATTTGGTCACGCAGTTCAGCGCTGTGGCGATTCTTCCCCAAGCAGGTGAGACCTCGAGCTGCTGGACACATCGTCGCGGTGGTGAAGCACCCGCTGCTTGGCGTCTTGGCAGCACTTGGGGTCCGGAGTCGAAGCATCCCGAAGTTACGGCGCTTCGTTTGGAGGCGTACCTAGCAGGGGCTCTAGCTATATCATCTTGATTTCGGGGTCTTGGAGGAGGGGCAGGATGCAAAGTACCATTCGAATTTGTTGCATCACGAGATAAAGCTTGCGTTGCACATTCATTTTGCGTGGCATATCGTGTCATCATCTGCTGACGTGTTTGTCTACATCCACGCACATGTACACCTTCGCAATAAATATTTACATATATATATATATATATACAGACATATATTTTTATATGTATATACACATACATACATACATACATACATACATACATACATACATACATACATACTTGCATACATACATACATACATACATCCATACATACATACATGCATACATACATACGTACCTGTGTAATATGTGTACATCTGTGTAGATGTGTGTGTTTATGTATATCTGTATACATACATATGCACCAGACCATATGACCTTGTTATGTAGTCTCGTTGCATGGCTCAAGATCTCAGATACCTTACACCCACTGGATTAGCTGTCAGCTGTTTTGTTTCAGGACTGGCCGAAGACATCGGGCTCATTCGAAGGCGCACTCTACTGTGTACATCAACTCTGAGTACATGGAGTACAGGGGCCCATCGCCAGGTGAATGAGGACATCAAGTCTGCAGTTTCATGAAGCTACTGCCCAAGGCACAAGTGCGAAGCCCAGCAGGCAGAGGTCAGCTGCTGCTAGCTGCCAGATGCTAGCTTTACTGGTGACGGTCTCCAGAGACCGTTAAGGCTACATGTTGTCAGCTTGTCACTCATGTCGCGGTTTGGAGCGAGCCCTGATACGAAAGCAGTACGGATGAGGTGAATGGACGGCAACCTGAGAAGATGCGCCTGGAAGTCAACACGGCTTTAGGCTTTTTCTTGCGGGTATATAGCTGCCCTGCATTCCTTTGACCGGCTAACTAATTGTCAGCTTGGCTGAATTTTTGATTGAGCGGCCGTTTGTGCAAACGGCCGCTGGCATCACTGGCATGCATCCATAGATTCGGGATGCCTTGTCAAGACCGGACCACAACCCTGCCGTTCAGGCATCAAAGAGAGAGCCACCGGATGCGCAGCTGTTCATGTTATTGCAGACTGCCACTGTGTTGTATCGCACATGTAAACATCTTGCGGACGGTCATGGCATGTGACCACCGTCTCCGTCCATCACGAACTGCACTGAAGTACTGGGATGATCAGAGCCCTTGGCGCAGGAGTACTCGACAAAGTGGCCCGAGAATCATCATCAGACAGCAAGCACCCACCCAACACTGCGCCCACCCACGGAGTGACGACGCCATTGTCAGACTTGTCAAGCACCCGGTTGAGAGATATTCTCTTGACAAGCTGCATCCAGAGGAGAGCCTTCATCCACTTACGATTTTCTTCCACACCATCCTCCACACGCGCAGCCGCGCAGCAAGAGCCCCATGACGATGGCGTCTAACTCAGCTCGCACGGTGGAGTGGCAAGCAGCAGCGCGCATCTGAATGAGAAGCGAATCGCGATCCTCGAAGAGAACTGCTGATGATCGGAGCTGGGGCTGCGACGTCGCCAACCCTGGCCACCTGCAGCGCTCCAACGTCAGGTTGGTCGTCTGCAGCTGGACGGCTCTACCTTGCCAACATGATCATAAAAAGAACATATGGATACACGGCAAGGATGGTTATGGCGGGCTCGGGAAGGGTGGCGCGGCCATGCCCCTGCGTCGTGGCACATCGGTATCATGAAGAGATTTAGTGCCACGACCGAGCCACGACTATGTTCATTGCCCTCAACATAGCGAGCTTGTTTTGTGCTTCCCGTGGTTTGGGCTCAGTATGGCAAGATAGAAGTGGAAGCCATGCTGGGAAGCCAGGCCTACTTTAGGGAATCCGCCCCAACATGCCTTAACATGTGCTAGCTTGCTCTTTGGTGCAGGCTTCGAAAAGGGCCGCCAAGTCCTCAGCATGCGACGCATGATTGAAAGCTCGTTAATACTGCAATGAGTCGTGCCTGCCGTTTCCCCAGGCTTTTGGGCCAGATGGCGGGACCTCGCCTCGCAAGGCTCTGACCCCAAAGCCGTCAGCTTCAAACACCCGGTTTTGTGCCCACTTTCCCTGTTTCCCTGCGCAGCCGAGGCCAAAGCTCGGCTCCTACAGGCCTGTCGCCTGCAGATTCACCAGACTGAGCCCGGTGAGCCTCCCTCTTTTTTGTCTAAAAGAGGCGTGTGGGGGCTCCTGCCAGTGCGCATGCGCTGCCCAGCGCTACCAGGGCACTTCGGCACAGCCGTGGCCTTTCCGAGGTGTTCGGGCACATGCCCGGAGATTGGGATGGCGCATCTCCCAAGGTGCCTGAGCATCATTCGCCAGTCTAAGACGGCCAAGCGTTCAGAAATTCCCAAGGCAGGACAAAGATGTTGCCTTTAGCTGCCTTTGTGGCTTTTTGGATCTCTGGCCCCTGGCCCAGGCAGAGAAGGGTCGAAGCATGGGCATTAGCCAGGCCTTGGGCCTTGGGCAGAGACGGAGGGAGACCAGTCCTTTCCTGTTTCACAGGCCCTGCGAGACCTGGACTACCCAGAGACTCGTTGCCTGACGGTGGGGCAAGTGGCCGTGGCGCCGGTGAAGGACACGGGGATGCGGGCGCTCATGGCCCAGGCCAGCTCAATCTCGAGAGCCCGTGCAGCCACTTGAGCTGCAGCCTGCTCGCCGGAGGCTTTCAGCGCTGCCGCCGCACAGGAGATGGCGGCTTTAGGCAGCTCGCGGCAGAATTTGAGGATCTTTCAAAGGTAATTGCATTGTTGATCCTGTCACCCGACGACAATGCACAGCAGACGTGAACGATGAAAACCCTCAAACCGTTAAATCCCTAAGCCACTCTAGCCAGGGCGAGCCTGGCAGCTTGGTGAAGCAGAGGGAGAGCGCCGCCTTGAGGAGGCTCTTTGCTCAACAAACAACAACAACTACAGCCACTTCTACTGCCACTGCCACTGCCACTG